TTAGTAGAGAGTGTGTAAAAGTACTTTTACTTTCCCGATTTTTTGATCAGGAAAAACTAAAATATTRTTATTTCTGAAGTGTCCTCTCCAGAGAGGGTCCAAAAGAGACACAAGCTGGGGAAAGTGCATTTAAAAGTAAATAAATCTGTAAACAAAGAGACAAGAATTGACCTAGAGCCTCCGGACTTACAGGAAAACACTAAATATTAACTTAAAAAAAATTAATAAAACAAATCTATTTCTGCTCAGAATAACTCCAAAATTAAAACAGAAAAACCTACAAACTCTAATTTAAAAAAGTATTACTGTTGTGGTAAAGTAGTCCAAGGTGGCTGAAGGTTTTTAGAAAACAACATTTTGTTCTTAAAGAATAAAATAAAGACAATAAAAGTTTTTCTTTCAAGTCAAACTCAGATCAAGCCCTAAAAATGTCGACATGATGCCTCTGGAAACAAAGACGAGTGAGGACAAAAACAAAGGAGGATGTTTGAAAAGGACCACACAATCTGAAGCTCGTCATCCTCTGAGACACACACACACACACACACACACACACAGAAAATGATCCGTTACCAGGGTAACATCGTCTCCACGCAGAAAGACATCCCCTTGTTCCAAAAAAGACCAAACAAAAAAAGGACAAAACAAGGAAGAAGCAGGCAGGACAACTACAAACATCCCATGCGCTCCATGGAAACGTCCTCCTGCAGCAGAGTTTTTACAGAACAAACAATCTGCTGCAGATTAATGTGACTCAAACTCAGAGCGAGGCAGAACCGACAGGAACAGTTTGAGCCCTCAGCTGCAGAACCAGCTGTCAGGACGTCCGGTCGGACGGGACTCACGTTCTGGTTCCCCACGATGTTGTCGAAGGGCAGCTCGGGGCTCCACGAGGCCTCGTTGAAGGTGGCGCTGCTGGAGCGGCGGTCGGCCGAGCTGGCCGCCTCCTTCATGATGTCCTCCGGCAGCGTGAGCAGGCTCTCCTCCGGCTGCCTGATCAGGTACGTCTCGATGTTGTGGCGCCGCAGGAAGTCGTTGCGGTCTTTGCCGTGGCCTTCCTCCACCTCGTAGTCCCCGTTCAGGCAGTCCAACGCTGCTTTGGAGATGTGGATTCTCCTGAAACACCAGAAMGATATGCTCAAACTTAACCCTTTAAAGCCTAAMCCTTTAAAAAAAAAGTCAGAAAATTATCATGTTTTAGAACTGACGTTTATTGGGYCTTTATTAAACAAAATCCTTTTTTTTTTTTGCCACATCACTTTGTTTATGAGATATTTTTTGTATCAAATCTGATCCACTGGGCTGTTTTGGTAACATTTTGCTCACAACAAAGTTAAATTAAGAAACAAAA